GAAGCAGAGAGGCCACTCAGGGCAGAGGAGAGGCTGGGAGGGGGCATTCTGGGGTGAAGAGGCCAGGCTGGCTCAGGACGGCGAGAGGGGAGCTGTGGCCTGTGGCCAGCCAGCATGTCCAGAGGCATGGGAGAGAGGAAGGAAAGATCATGGTGGACTGGAAAGGGTGGGCCTGGGTTTGGACCCAACCCAGGAGGAAGCTGGGAGTCACGGAAGGCTGGTGAGGAGGGATGACGCACTCGGAGCTGAGCTTCAGGAGGCTGGGTCAGTGGAGTGTGCAGCTCGGAGCTGAGCTTCAGGGGCTGGGGGGCAGTGGCAGGCAGAGAGAGGGAGCCCCAGGTGCCCTCTTCCCCCAGGACTCTGAAGCTGGGAAACACACTCAAACGCCCTCCCCCACCCCAATGCTCCATCTCTTCCCCGCCCTCCAAGGACCCCTGTTCTCCCAGGGGTGCCCCCTCCCTCCACTCTGCCCTGCCTCTCACACCCTCTGTGTATGCAGCTCCAGCGGGACACCCCGGGAAGGGCCAACCGGGGGCACCGGGGGCTCAGGGGGGCCCGGGGGCTCCCTGGGCAGCCGTGGGAGGCGCAGGAAGCTCTACTCGGCGGTGCCTGGACGCTCCTTCATGGCCGTGAAGTCCTACCAAGCTCAAGCCGAGGGGGAGATCTCCTTGAGCAAGGGCGAGAAGATCAAAGGTGAGGGGTGGGCAGGGTGTCTGCAGGCCAGGAGGGCGGGTAGGTGAGCTGACCACTCAGGCAGGGCAGGCAGGATAACAGTTCTAGAATGTTCCATGCACCCTGGAGTCATCCAAGAGCCCTGAGATGGCTCTGCAGCCTGAGGAGCATGACATGTAACTGAGATGGTGCTATCGGGAGGCCATGGGACTGTGGCACCAGGCCGGGCACGGAAGCACTTCCAGGCATGGTCTCAACTCAATCACAACCCCCTGCGGGAGGGTGTCAGGACCCCAGGCAAGTGAAGGCACTTGTCTGAGGTCCCCGGAGACCCCCCCCACTGCACCTACAGTCTTTCCTGTTACCTTGTGGGGGGCACAAGGCCAGGCCACCTACCTTCACCTCCTGCCTCTGTCAGGTCTTCCTCTGAGAAATGGGCGGTGCCTACTTTTGGGGGCTCTGGACAGATGGCAGGTGTGTGAAGCCGGGTCTATGCCCAGGGCTCCCTGAACAGAGACTGTTGATGTAGGGGTTCCTCTCTCTTTGGCTTTCTTGTCTTTGTCTGGAAAATGGTGCCCGTTGCCCCCATGGGCAGACTGAATGGGCTGGGGATGTGTGTTCCTGAGCAGAATGATGTTTTGGAGGCAGGAAGCGTGCTGCAGGCGAGGTGAACATGAGGACAGGAGCAAGTCTTTGCCTAACTCAGGCTACAGAGGAGCTGAGTAGTGTAACAGTTGAGAGCAGGCTGCTGGAGTTCAAATCCTGGCCCCACCCCCTCCTAGTTGGGTGACCTCAGGCAAGTGACTTCCCTGGGCCTCAGTTTCCTCATCTGTAAAATGGAGCCCCTTTGAAGATTAAAGGAATTCTCTCCCATAAAGCGCTTAGAACAATGCACATAAGTGCAGCCCTTGTGTCATAAGTGCCCCCCACCCCACTAGAGGCACGTAGATGGGAGAGAGAGCCCGGCCACTGGGGAAGCTGGGGGCCCTTCCCATAGGAGACAGAGTGTGCGTGGGTCAGGGGTCAGGGCACCTGGTGGGCTGTGTAATTGCATCAGTTTTGTGGTCTGTCTGCCCACAGCCTGAGTTCCTGAAGGTGAGGTGACAGGGCATTTGTCTCCGGGTCACAGGGCCCAGTTTACTGACATGTTGAGCACATAGAAGGCCTCCATGCACATCTGCTGAATGAATGACTGAATGAATGAATGAGCTGATGGTGGGGGCCAGGGCAGTGCCACCAGAGGCAGCGTGCAGGGGGTGGGGAGGGGAGAGA